TAATATGTAATTCTTAAAAATCTTTCCCTGTGTCTTATGATTAATGCCACCTATGCAGGCAACAGGATAGATATTCAAAAGAGTCAAAAAAGCAAAAAGCTGAGTGACTTAAAGCAAGAACAAACAACCCTTTCACTGTCTCTCATCCCCATCAAAATAAAGTAAAAGAGAAGGAAAATGTTAAGTAGAATTCATTTCCACTGTAACGGTCTTTGCTCTCAGTAAGAATTTTTGACTCAATGAAGTTATATCCCACTCTTGTTTTATCCAGTTAACAGATCAATGTAATGCAAAACTCATTTCTATTTAATTTGGATCCTATTACAGTAAGCAGTAAGTTCCTGGTTACCAACATCTGACTTGGGACAACTTGTACTTTGCCCTTTAATGTTATGTAAATTTGCCCTCACTTTGAAAGGACTGAACCAACAATCCCTACTCCCTATTGGCAACAAATTCTTCATCACAATCACCTTCACTTGCTGCACGTGCAGCTTTTAAATCATTGAAAAGGCTTTGAGCCTTTTACTGCACTAGAAACCAAAAACCAAACCCACTGCCGCTGAGACGATTTTGACTCACAACGACCTGACAGGACAGAGTAGAACTGCCCATAGGGTTTCCAAAGCCGTAAATCTTTAAGGAAGCAGACTGCCACATCGTTCTTCCGAGGAGCGGCTGATGGGTTCGAACCACAGACCTTCTGGTTAGCAGCCAAGCGCTTTAATCATTGTGTGGCACCAGTGCTCCTTTTCTTGCACTAAAGTAAGGTTAAATAAGAACTGTATGCACCTGTTCCGACTTACCTACAAATTCAACTTAAAGACACACTTAGGAACTGATCTCGTTCATAACCTGGGGACTGCCTATATACGATTTTTGAACAGGCCAAAGTTTTACTGGGGGGAAGATGAAGTGCAATTGCATTTTATGCAAACACATTGCTGGATGATTACAAAACAAAACCAGGACAGTTAAAGGAATGAGGCTCTGATTTTAAATGACTTCTCTCTGTTCACGTGGACACAGAGGTGAAAGAAATTTGAAAACTCACACACAAATTTTCCTTTTCCTGTAGATCATTAATTTCATAAAAGTTTTTATTTTTTTAATGTAGTCCTTTAAATTGAACACAATACAGAACTACTTAAAGAGACAGTAGTACCTTGTAGTCATTTTGAAAGAAACAGTGAATAGGAAGCCAAGTGGTACCAAAAAGGTAAGTAAAACAACACTTAAAAGTAACTAAATAAATAGAGAAGATGCTTTCAACACCCTACCTCAACAGCAGCAACCTAGGGTAGCAGTAGTTGGGGAGAATAGAAACATGTCAAAGTCAACTCTTCAGCATAACATAAACATCTAAACAGAATACCAAGAATATAAGAACCAAATATGTTAAAGAATCTATAGCAATTTTTTATAGCACTTGCTTTTAGTAAGATGTTTCTTGTTAATCATAAAATCCACAATCAATTAGGAAAAAAAAAAGCATGTTTAATGATAACGATTAAGATGAGGTAAACAGTGAAATTGCTTCACTCCATCCTAAACATTGGGGCTGGATAATCTAGGGTGCTTTCAAGTGCCCCTAAAAATGGCTTTAATTGGGGGCCAATGTAACTGCTGGTCCATTCCTTTTCTGAGTCTTTGCAGTTACTATACAAGATTGCATTTCATTTCAAACTACAGTTCAAATCACTCTGTGATGACACCACAGCAACAGACAGGCTTGAGATAAATCTCTATACCTCCTATACCTCCCTGGTTCTAAAAGGAGGAGGAAAAATTAAAATAGAATAAAAAATGAAAAGGGGAAAAATATGCAGTCCTAGGAGGATAGATAGGAGTAATAACTCTAAGCAGGAACTTTTCAGCCATCAAACCAGCTAACTTTTCTCCCTCCCTTCACTGAGTATCACATAGATGGTGCTACTGTAGTTCTGATTCTAGAAGTTTGCCTAATTTGGTTGAGCCACTGCTTATTATTTATTGTCAGGACTTTTTAAAAAAAGATACACAAAAAGAGTAATTTTAAATGTACAATACAAAACAGTAAAAACCTTGATCTATTTGTGTTATTTATATGTAAGAAAAGACATACACAAGTATGAAGATTCACAAAACATAAAAAGAGTTGACACATTAGTTTATTACTCTACCTTTAAAAAAGATGCTGAAACTTTTAGTTCTCACTACCTTTATAAGCTTCAGGAATGGTTCCTAATTAATTAGCCTATAAAACATGAGTCACACAGAAAATTTCTAATTATCTGAAGAGTTTACAACACAAAACGGGAGACACCTGGGCACCTTCTATGTTGATTTCATTGCTGGAACTCAATTTTCATTCTACTGTGAGGAAAAAGAACCCTGGCAAATTAATACAGGAAATGAGAAATCTGACTTTCAGAGGAAATAATACACCTACATGGAGTGTCTAATGATAAAGATTTAAGGATTTTGCTGTGCCCCCAACTATTGGTACAGCCCTATACCAATCCTTTGGGATGACATCTCTTAAAGCACATACTCTGGTAGAAAGGTATGAAATTTAACATTTTTTATTAATTTCAAATCTCAATTCAACTTTTTGGAATCTTCTAAGTTGTGCCTTTGAATTTTTTTCCTTTCAACTGATGTGAAACTTCAATAACAAAACTCTTATTTGTTTTCACTTCTATTCATTGTCCATCTCAAAGCTATAAGCAAATCCCCCCTCCCTTTCAGCTAACTTCGACATTGTAACTAAGGCCGTATACAATGTTGAATACATGTTGCTATTACTTACACTCAAATACAAACGGATGTTGTGGGGGATTAAATGAGATATGTGAAGTACCTATCCTAGTGCCCAGCACATATTTAAAACAAACAAACAAACAAAAACCTGTTGCTGTCCAGTCGATTCCGACTCATAGTGACCCTATAGGACAGAGCAGAACTGCCCCATAGAGTTTCCAAGGAACGGATGGTAGATTCAAACTGCTGACCTTTTGGTTAGCAGCCAAAGGCTTAACCACTGCACCACCAGGGCCCTGGCACACATTAAGACCACAGTAAATACTTGACATATCATGCGTATATGCAGAAATACATGTATTTTCACGTTATGTCCTGAAATGTGCCACTCTCTCAAGTAGATACAGTTACAATTTCAATGCTAATAACTGACTAATCGAATTGTGTTTGTAGTTATTTTAGTCAACAGGATTCTGTTATGGACTGAATTTTGTTCCCCTAAAAGGTATGTTGAAGTCCTAACCCCTGTACCTGTGACTGTGACCCTGTTTGGGAATAGGAGTTTTCATTATGCTAATTAGGTCACAGCAGAGTAGGGTGGATCCTAATCACCTCTGAGAGTGTCTTATAAAAAGAGCAGAACAGACACAGAGACACACACTGGGGGAAGACAAATGCCACATGACGACTGCCAAGGTTTGCCGGCAGACACCAGAAGCTAGGAGAAAGGCCCACAGAAGGAATCCACAAGGCCGAGACCCTGATTTGGACTTTAGCCTCCAGAACTGTGAGAAAATAAACTTCTGTTCTCTAAAGCCGCCCACTTGTGGTATTGTTTGTTATGGCAGCACTAGGAAACTAAGATTCCTAAAGGGGTGCACTTCCTATCTTTAGACAATCTCTGCCCATACTAGACAGAGCTGCATCAAAGTCCTGGGGGAGTTACTAGATCCAGAATTACAAGTCAAAAGTTGGCTTCAGTAACACCAAGTAATACTACACCTCACTGTGCCTAAAGGTCAAAATGCAGCTTAGGTTTTAGGGACGTCTAAAAGATGGGGCCATAAGTAAGTGCTAACCTCTAACTCCCACCCTCCCAAACATCCCTGCCGTTTTAACGCGCGCGCGTGTGCGTGTGCGTGTGTGTGTGTGTGTGTGTGTGTAAATAAAAATGGGAGGGCGGTTCCCTCTGGGCTCTGCTTGACTGCTCTTGAATTAACTGCCAAAGGTGCTCAACAAGTGTATACCAAACTGGGAAGTCAATAAATAATAACTGTATAATCCCACTTACATGAATTATCTAAAACAGGTACATTTACTCAGACATAAGAAGGCAAGGGGTTATCAGGGAACGAGGGGAGAGGGGAATGGCGAGTTAAAAACAAACCAAAAACAAGTATATATACGTATGTGTATGTATATATGAATTTTTAAAAAACGTTATAAATAAATATGGTTGGAATACAAGACCATTTCACAAAAGTTGGATTCAAACATGTATAAATAAATGATAACAATATTTAACACACATGGCACCTACTGTATGCCAGGCAGTATTCAGAAAGATGCACATACATCTAACTCGTCTAATCGTCACAATAACCCGACAAGATAGACACTCTTATTCTCTCCATTTTAGAGACAGGGACGTTGAAAACGTACCCAAGGTCAAAGGGCTAGTAGATAAATGGTGAGGCTGGTGTTTGAACCAAACCACTCTGTCTCTAGACTCCATGCTCTTAACTACTAAGCACTATGCGGTCCAGAGAAACGAAGTTAGGAAAATTAAAATGAGTGGGCAGAGGTAGGTCAGTTGGAGATTTTAGGTGGCTGACAGGAAAACCAAGGTCCCCTTTTCTGTCTCTAGTAAACCAATGCGGACTTCTCGAGCACACCTACATGCCCAGCACCGAGCTGAGCCCAGCGGGGCAAAGTCACGGCTAACTTCCACACGGACACCGCAGAGCTCCTCTTTACCTCATTCGGCGCCGGCACGTTAGGAGGCAGCTTCAGCTGCAAATCAAGAAGTTTCACGACGGCTCCTCTCAGAGCCAAGAGCGGAATGCACGGCGTGGCGGCAAAACAAAGGCCCGCGGCTCCCCTCGCCCACCCTCGCGCGTTGCACCCAGCCTCAAGTGGCGCCACGCCGCGCGCCGGAGGCCCAGCCCGCCCTCGCGGGCTCGTCGGGTCTCGAGCCCCACCTCGGGAACACGCGCCCCACCCCAGCTCGCCCCGGCCGCCCGCTCAGGCCGCCTCACCGGCTTCTGGGCGGCGCCCGACAACACGCGGGAGACGGCAGCGAGCATCTTCCTCATAGAGCGCAAGCAGTGGCAGCAGCAAAAAGGGCCAAAGAGCACTGCTCCAGTGTCCCCAAGTCTCCTTCAGGCGCCCGGAGCGGACACGACGCCTAAATCGCAGCGCGACGGAGACGACGTCATGGGCCGCGCCCGGCCGCGAGCCAACCAGGATGGCTTCGCTGGTGGACCACGCCCCCTGACAGACCCGTGGCCGCCCATTGGGTATCGGCGTCAGAAGACAAGAGTCTGCAGGCTCCGGTCTTCAACTCGCGGCGGGCGGGTAAGGAGACGAGACCTGAGAGCGCCTGCGTGGGAAAATGTGGCCCCGCCTCCAGGATCCCAGGGCTAACCTCCCGCAGGGCGTTCTCCCAGGAGCCGGCCAAGCAGACTACCCGGTAAGTCATGCAGGACAATCCTGCTGTGCATCCAGTCTTGCCAGGGCTGAAGATTTGCAAATTTGCACCCCTCGCTCAGTACACAAGATGATGAAGATTAACAGCATCGCCAAGGCCTAAAGAAAGAATATCTGGTTTCTATATGTGCTTCTTTATAGCCTCGGAAACCCTATGGGGCAGTTCTACCCTGTCCTATAGGGTCGCTATGAGTCAGAATCAACTCGATAGCAATGGGTTTGGTTTTCATATATATGTTCTGCCACTAACTTGTTTTTAAGAGATCACTTATCAGTTGTAAATTGCCGCCCTGTCTACTTGAGCTGGAGTCCCTGGGTGGCGCAAACGGTTAATCGCTGGATTGCTAGCTGAAAGGTTGGTGGTTCAAACCCACTCAGAGGTGCCTCAGAAGAAAGGCCTGGCGATCTGCTTACAAGAGGTCACAGCCTTGTAAACCCTATGGAGCAGTTCTACTGTGCACACATGGGGTCCGAATCGACTGGACGGCAGCTAACAACAATTGGTTCTCACTCTCAAGAGGTACCAAGATGACACCAAACCCAACCCAAGCCGTTGCCATCCAGTCCATCCCACACAAAAGCAACTCTCGGCTCTATTCAGAGTAGTTCCTAGGCTCAGGGACTGTTCTGTTCTAGTGGATTGTACCTGGGATATTGCGTTCAGATTTGGGCTCCACATTTTGAGAGAGAATGACAAAAATGAGTGAAATCCAACAGTCAGAATGGTGAGAGAAGATTGTGATTTGTGAGGAATGAGGAAAGGATTTAGGAATAAAACAGACTAATTTGGGATGGACTAGATTATGTTGTGGTGACAACTGACCTCCAAATTTCAGCTCTTCCTGGAACTTGAAGTAACTAAAATCACCTCACTCAAGTCGCCTCACTCGCACTACAGGTCCCTCACAGCTCTATTCCTTGTCAACTTCACTCCAGAACCCAGACTGCTGGAGCAGCCTCTTATCTGGAACTGAGCTGGTCTCACGGTGAAGGGGAAAGAGATCACTTAAGCTGGCTCTCAAAGCTTCTGCCCAGAAGTGACACATGTCACTTCGTCTCACTTATCCTCCTATGGGGAAAGAGACCAGAAAATTGAAAAAGTAAAACAAGAAATTTTCATACATGTCTTTGCACATTTTCAGGCCTGTCATGTTCCAGAAGGAGGTGTGCTATTGTGTGTGTGCGCACATACATGTGTGTCAATAACATGATTTCAGTTCCATATAAGAAATAATTTTCTAACAATTAGAATTGTTCAATGAGGTAATTCCTTGCGGCCGGCGCCAATGTCACCAAAAGTATTCAAAGCTGAAGCTCAAAGCATGGCCAGCTGTCAGGATGGTTAGAGAAAGAATTTGGGCACTGGGCAGAAGGCTGGGCCTTGTTGATTCCTCCCACCTCTGCTACCAGATTGCCACGAGAAGAACAGTCCTTAAAAGAATGGGAGTGGGGATTGTCTTGGTTATCTAGTGCTGCTGGAACAGAAATACCACAAGTAGATGGCTTTAACAAAGAGAAATTTATTCTCTCACAGTCTAGTAGGCTACAAGTGCAAATTCAGGGTGCCAGCTCCAGGGGAACACTTTCTGTTTCTGTCAGCTCTGGGGGAAGGTCTTGTCATCAGTCTTCCCCTAGTCTAGGAGCTTCTCAGGCACAGGGACCCCGGGTCCAAAGGAGGCGCTGTGCTCCCAGTGCTGCTTTCTTGGTGGTATGAGGTCCCAATGTCTCTCTGCTCTCTTCTCTCTTTTATATCTCAAAAGAGATTGGCTCAAGATACAATCCAATCTTGTAGATTGAGTCCTGCCTCATTAGCATAGCTGCCACTAATCCTATCTCATCAATATCATGGAGACAGGATTTACAACACATAGGAAAATCACATCAGATGACAAAATGGTGGACAATCACACAATACTGGGAATCATGGCCCAGCCAACTTGACAGATATTTTTGGGGGCCCCAATTCAATCCCTAACAGGGATTAAAAGGCAGGCATGAAAGTGAGACACATGGTGGACTATGACTTCATAGATGTTGCTGCTGGTTGAGGGTGGAGGACAAAGAGAAGGGAATGAAAAGGTTTGGAGGCCAGATGTCTATGTCATGAGAAGAAGCTGGTCTGGATGGTTTTGGACATTTGACTTGGTGATGCTGGTGGGACAGCTATCCGAAGATGTCCTTCAGGAAGTTGGAGATGTAGGTGTGGAACATAAGGCTGGAAAGAGGAATTTGGGAGTCATCTGCAATGAGGTGATATTGGCTGTGTGTGTCTAAGACCACTGAAGTTTCATTCATTCATTCAACAACTACCTATCAAGCACCTATTATATGTCAGGCTCTGTACTAGGCATTGGGGATACAGCAAGGGACAAGTAAAACATAGGCCCTACTCTCACAGAGCTTACAGCCTAATGTGGGAAATAGGTAATGAACAAGTACATATAAATATATATTATATGAACATATAATATCAGTGATAAGTGGTATAAAAAAATTAAGCAGAATAAAGGGTTAGAGAGTAATGGGGTAGAGGAGTTGGACTGTTTTACATAAGAAGGTCAGAAAAACTTCTCTGAGGAAGTGACATTGAGCAGAGATCTGAATGCAATCAGGGAGCAAGCTACACAAAGATCCAGGGAGAGCTTTCCAGGCTAAGGGACCTCCAAATACAAACACCCTGAGGTGGAAATCAACTTTGTGCATTTAAGGCATAGCAGAAAGAGTAAGTGACTATAGTGGCATAAGGGAGGCAGAGAGTGTAGGACATGAAAGAGAGACCAGAACAGGTAGAGCCTCGGTAGGATTTTTTTTTTTCTTGGTGGGAAATGGAATTGATGGGAGCAGGGGAGTGACATGACTTCATTTCCATTTAACAGTTAAGATCATTCTGGTTGCTGGGTGGAGAATTGACCATATGGCGACAAGAGTTCAGTCTTAGTATTTATTGGTTCTTTAAGTTCTTCTTAGCATTAGCTTCCTTGTGGGGGGGGGACTCATAGTTGTAGACAACAGCAAATTGGATGTGAGTTGTGCTGCGCTTCATCCTTGGAATAGGTAGAGTCCTATATCCTCTGTGTATCATCACTACCCAAACACCACAACAACCTAGGACTTTCTGAGAACAATGAGGGGAAACGTGTAGGTCACTGTTTCTCAAAGTGTGGGTCACTGTATTAGTTAGGGTAGGCTACGTTATGTTGCAGTAACAAATTAGCCTCAAATGTCAGTGGAGTCACATAACAGAGGTTTATTTTTCACTCATGTTATATGCCCAGCATGGATTGGCCAGGGACTCTCTCCATGATCACTCAGGAACCAAGGATGAAGGATACGTCCTCCCTGGTCAACACAGCAGGGGAGAAGAGTGCGGAAGGTTCTCATGATGGCTCGTAAATGCTTTGGCCTGGAAGTGACGCGTGCCATTTCTACTTTCAGCCCATAGGCCAGAACTAGTCACATGGCCTTCTATTACAAGGGGGCTCTGAAGGGTAATCCTGCCATATGCTCAGGAAGGAGAGGAGAACTGGAAGTGAGTACAGACTCTTCCGCATCTCCGTATGAGCTTCATCAGAAGCATATGGCATCCTTTTTGAAAATGCAGATTCCTGGGCTCCAACACAGACCCACTGAATCAGAATCTGTGGGCCTAGGGCCAGGAATCTGCATTTTAGGGTGACTCCAGGTGACTGTTATAAACATTAAAGATTGAGAACCACTGATCTAGAAAAAAAAGAAGACAAGAGCTGAGAACAACACCTTTGGGACTGTTGTGGCCATTCATATTCCTTAGTTATGAACAACAGAACCCAACTATAGCTAATTTAAGCAATACAAGAATTCATTAGAAGTATTTTGGGTAACTTAAAAAACCAAAGAGCTGAATGATCATGCTTTAAGATGGACACGAACCAGGAAATCTCCAGAAATCTTAGGAGCAGACACTTATACACAATCTCTTTAGGATACTGCCTTCAGAGGACTTCTCTCTGACTATCTTGCATCACTGTGTGTTTTGGCTAGAGAACCAAGTTACTGAAAGAAAGAGTCTGATGGCCTAGCCTGGGTCACCTGTCCTCCCTTGGGTCAGGGCTCCTGGCTCCTGTAATTGGCCACCCATCTCAAGCACATGGAGGGAGGTAGGGGCAGTTCCCCAAAGTAGGGGGTGCTGGGCCAAAAATAAAAAGCAATGTCCACTCTAAATGCCCAGGGAGCCAATGAAGGATCTGGCAAGACTGGAGGAGAATTAATAGTGTTTGCCCAGACACTGAGGAAAGAGAAGATATTTAACTGTGATAGTGCCACAGAGCGGTCAAAAGAAATGAGCACTGAATAAAAGAAACTGAATTTGGCCGTTAGAGGATTGCTGATGACCTTTGAGGCAGAAAGGTCAGGTTAGATGTTAGGTGGGATGGAGGTGGACTCACATTAAGGGAGTCAAGACTGGAGAGGAAATATGACTATTTGAGAAGCTTCGCTTTGAAAGGAAGAGGATGAATAAAATGATTGCTTGCTGTCTTAGTCATCTAGTGCTGCTATAACAGAAATACCACAAGTGGATGGCTGCAACAAACAGAAGTTTATTCTCTCACACTCTAGTAGGCTAGAAGTCCAAATTCAGGGAGTCAGCTCCAGGGGAAGGCTTTCTCTCTCTGTTGGCTCTGGAGGAAGGTCCTTGTCATCATCAATCTTCCCCT